TAAACTGAGTTCTGAAAGAAACAGCTGACTATAGAATTGTTACCCTGCTGCTGTTTGAAAGGCTATAGATATACAGCCAGAGGAACTTAGTGAAGACAAAGTCATTGACATAACTGCAGAAAGTGGTTGTGACAAAAAGGATAAAGATGTCCCAGGGGAAGTAACACCAGCAAAACACTTCACATTAAAGGAACTCTCAGAGATATTACACCTCATTGAAAGTGTAAAGGAAAATGTTAAAAGTTTATCCAAACTTCGAAAAAATTATGACACTTTACCAAAACAGAAAAGATGCTTGCTCTATATTATAAGTTCTCTGATGAGAAGGTAAGCACTGTACAAATCACTTTCGATAGAGTTTTTACAAGGAAATAAAGCACTATAATTCTCAATGTTTTTTTTTTTGAGACGGAGTTTCGCTCTTGTTACCCAGGCTGGAGTGCAATGGCACGATCTCGGCTCACCGCAACCTCCACCTTCTGAGTTCAAGCAATTTTCCTGCCTCAGCCTCCCGAGTAGCTGGGACTACAGGCATGCGCCACCATGCCCAGCTAATTTTTGTATTTATAGTAGAGATGGAGTTTCACCTTGTTGACCAGGATGGTCTTGATCTCTTGCCCTCGTGATCCACCCGCCTCAGCCTCCCAAAGTGCTGGGATTACAGGCGTGAGTCACCACACCCGGCCTAATTCTCAGTGTTCTTAATGTTTTAAATTACAATGCACCAAGACCATCCTGGTCAACAAGGTGAAACCCCGTCTCTACTAAAAATACAAAAATAAGCTGGGCATGGTGGTGCGCACCTGTAGTCCCAGCTACTTGGGAGGCTGAGGCAGGAAAATTGCTTGAACCCAGAAGGCAGAGGTTGCAGTGAGCCGAGATCGTGCCATTGCACTCCAGCCTGGGTAATTACAGCGAAACTCTGTCTCAAAAAAAAAAAAAAAATTACAATGCACTAAAAAATACATTGGTTTTACTATTTTTCACTTTCCTGTATATTTATAACTGACAATAAAAGTTTTTAAATGTGTTGATGATGTTTTTAAAAGTCAGAGGACAATTATGATTTTCCCACTATATATTAAGCTTACTTTGCATGGTTGCAGATTTAATAGCTATTTACAGTCCCCCACACTACCATGCAAACTAAAAACTGCCTGTGTTAACAAAAAAAAAGTTTTGGAGGACATTATGCTAAGTGAAATAAGCCATGAAGGACAAATACTATATGATTTCACTTATATAAGGATTAAAAATATCCAAACTCATATATTCTAATTTAAAACATTAGACAATAGTGGTTATCAGAGGCTGGGAGTGCGGGAAATGGAGAGGTTTTCTATGGATATAAACTTTTGATTATTCTAGATGAATAAGTCCTAGAGATCTGCTGTGCAACATAGCGCCTATAGTTACCAATATGGTATTGTGCAGTTCAAAATTTGTTAGGAGACTATATCTCATGTTAAGGGTCCTTACTGAAAAACCAACTAGCAAACAAAAACACAAAGGGGCACAAGGAAACTTTGGGGTGGGGGAAGCTTATCTGCTAACATTTATTGGAGATGTGATCCAAGGGCAGTGAGAGTGAGGGCAACATTATCAGCTGCTGCCGTGGAAAGCCTAGAATCGGAAAGAGAGATTTTTATGATCACTTGTAGTCCAAGGGAAAAATAGTGAAATACAGTTTCTGTTCTATATATATTTGAAAATCAAAGGCCTTGACAAAAAGGAAAGTTTCAAGCAGGATGTTCATGTGTTTTTTCTACCTTCATATTCAAATTTTTTGTCAATGGAGAAATAGAAAAAGCAGCATCTCACAATGCAACCCCCAGAGCGGAACGTTGACCCTAACCCTAACCAGAAGCTTAATTCCACTTCCAACTTAGAAACTTCTAAGTGTGTAAGACAAAATCTGAGGAAGCCTCAGAAGCTTGTTATTTCCTCCAGTCTGTCTTCTACTGGGGGTAATAAGAATTGGAATTTGGAGCTTCTGGAATAGCAAAAGGTATTGTTGGTCCTCCTCTTTCCTGTTTCCTTTTATGAAAATTGGGGAGAAAAAGTTTAGTTCCTTGCAAAATTTTCATTTCCACTTCTATTTCTCGGAGATCCAACAAGAACAACACAATTTTAAGATCTGTGGCATTCTCTTAAAGAAAGCCTGTAGTCTTGTGAGCATTCAGAAGTGAGAGGATGCAACAAAATCCCGCAAAGGCTGAGAATAGGGGACAATATTGAATCCTTTAAGTATAGCAGTTTGGAGACTCAGCTTTTGTGCACTCCAAAATAACCAGGAGTCTGAGCTTGAACTCAAGGCAAAAATTAAGGCCTCACAATTAGCTCATGAGTGGTTTTTCCTGTGGCTGATGGATGTGAGTTCAACAGCTATAGTGTTGTTTCCCAAAGTCCTTGAAACAGAGGGAGTGGGGTTTTCCAGCAAAGTATTCTTCCCCTTTTAAAATAATATTAGAGGAAGTCTTAAGCCAAGGAATATTAACGTGTTATTATAAGACATGGAGTCAAGAAGATTTATCTTCTGTAATTTTATGTTGCTTGGATCTTATTCCAGAAGAAAAATATTTTCAAATATGCCCTAACTGTGAAGTGAGAAAGATTAAGCTGCCGTGTCTTCATTTCAGGCCACATATGCAAATCTGTCTTATAATCCCCAGGAGATTCCAGTTGACCCTGAAAACTTGATGAACATCAATTAGTGTTTACTTCTTAACATTATCAGTACTTGGTATTCCAAGTGTTGCTTAATATTATCACTAATTAATATTATCAGAAGCAAACACATAACCAAAATTTGTATGTAAATACAAGTTTTCTGCCTAAATGCCTTACTTCCAAAGTTATCAAATTGCTGACTACGATGGAGATCTTGGGCACAGTTGTATAAGCATTTTACTAGGGTTTCAGTATAAGGAAGAAAATGAAGGGCTGTCTAGAAACTTCTTTAGCTAGCAAAATGTCTTTGTACATATACAAACTTATTTTTAAAATATTTGGTTCTTGGCCAGGCATGGTGGCTCACGCCTGTAATCCCAGCACTTTGGGAGACCTAGAACGGTGGATCACCTGAGGTCAGGAGTTTGAGACCAGCCTGGCCAACATGGCGAAACCCCATCTCAACAAAAAATACTAACAATAGCTGGGCGTGGTGGCACATGCCTGTAATCCCAGCTACTCAGGAGGCTGAGGCAGGAGAACGTCCTGAATGTGGAAAGTGGAGGTTATAGTGAGCCTAGATCACGCCACTGCACTCCAGCCTGGGCGACAGAGCCAGACTGCGTCTCAAAAATAAATAAATAAATAAATAATAAAGTCAAATATTTTGCTCTTCTTAGTCTAAACTTTTAACATTTTTATTTTTGTTTGTGTTTTGCTATATACATAATCTATTAGTATAATAGCACATATAAATAAAGAAAACATACATTATGGATCCATGTTTAAAGAAACATGTAGAAAAGCTACAGGGTCCACTGATTTTTTTTTTTTTTTGAGATGGAGTTTCGCTGTTGTTACCCAGACTGGAGTGCAATGGCACGATCTCGGATCACCACAACCTCCGCCTTCTGGGTTCAAGCAATTGTCCTACCTCAGCCTCCTAAGTAGCTGGGACTACAGGCGTGCACCACCATGCCCAGCTAATTATTTTTGTATTTTTAGTAGAGACGGGGTTTCACCTTGTTGACCAGGATGGTCTCGATCTCTTGACCTCGTGATCCACCCGCCTCGGCCTCCCAAAGTGCTGGGATTATAGGCGTGAGCCACCGCGCCCGGCCGGGGTCCATTGATTTTCATCCAGGGATAAAAAGAACAAGTCTCCACAGACTTGAACAACAGTAGGGGGAAAAAATGAAATTATTTTATATTGTGCCTTACAAATGCTGCTTGTACAGTCTAAAGATTTTAATAATAATAATAGCTGTTATTGAATACTTATATGCCAGACAATGTCTGCTTTACATGTATTAAATCATTTTATCTTCACAATAACTCGATAAGATATTAGTAATTTTCTTTCTTTCTTTCTTTTTTTTTTTTTGAGACGGAGTTTCGCTGCTGTTAACCAGACTGGAGTGCAATGGCACGATCTCGGCTCACCGCAACCTCTGCCTTCTGGGTTCAGGCAATTCTCCTGCCTCAGCCTCCAGAGTAGCTGGGACTACAGGCACGCGCCACCATGCCCAGCTAATTTTTGTATTTTTAGTAGAGACGGGGTTTCACCTCGTTGACCAGGACGGTCTCTATCTCTTGACCTCGTGATCCACCCGCCTCGGCCTCCCAAAGTGCTGGGATTATAGGCGTGAGCCACCGCACCTGGCCCCATAGTAATTTTCTGGGTGAGAAATTTAGATCCGGAGAATTTGTAAGTAAATTGCCCTAGGTTGTATGACTAGTAAGTGACAAAGCCACTCATGTGGCTATTTCAAGGAAATAAGAATTCAATCTGTTTTCACAAATTCTTTTTTCCTCTGGAACATCCAAAATACTGGACGTATAAAATATAAACCATGGCCATATCAAATTTCAATGCATTAACACTTTGCAGAGACACATGAGGTTACATGTGATTCGCTGAGCTTTATCAAGAATAAAAAGATAAAGCATTAGCTATGTTTTATCAAGGCAGGGGATCACTTGAGCTCAGAAGTTCAAGACGAGCCCGGGCACCATGGAGAAACTCTATCTCTACTAAAAATACAAAAATTAGCTGTGCGTGGTGGCATGTGCCTGTAGTTTTCAGCTACTTGGGTGGTTGAGGCAGGAAAATCGCTCTAACCTGGGAGGCGGAGGCTACAGTGAGCTGAGATTGTGCCACTGTACTCCAGCCTGGGCCACAGAGTGACACCCTGTCTCAAAAAAAAAAAAAAAGAAAGAAAGAAAGAGAGAGAGAGAGAGAATGCTTTATCAACAATAAAACAATGAGTCTCCATAGTACATGGGTTTTTTCTGAAATACATATTTCTCTTTTCTAATCTTTTTTATAGGTGTGGACAACCACTACAAAATAAAGTACAGCTGAAGGGCCGTGACCTTCTCACTCTGAAAAACTTTACTGGAGAAGAAATTAAATATATGCTATGGCTATCAGCAGATCTGAAATTTAGGATAAAACAGAAAGGAGAGGTATGTAACATTTTCTTTCCACATTCCATTACTACCAGTCAGCCTTTTTAAAGGCAACCTTCCCAAAGAAAGAGGAAAAAGAAAATACGTTACAATTCTTAAACAGTAGAAAAAAAAACCTCACAGTAAAGGTAATTGATTATCATGGAGCATACAGGCATACAAAAAAGCATAAAATCGGTTATTCAATGACAAGTCATTGCATTTTTTTCATGTGGAATGCTGAAATTCACTATTAACTGGATCAAACCTAAGAAATCATTTGTTTGACACGATTTTATTTTTATTTATTTATTTATTATTTTTTGAGACGGAGTCTTGCTCTGTTACCCAGGCTAGAGTACAGGGGTGCAATCTCGGCTCACTGCAACCTCTGCCTCCCAGGTTCAAGTGATTCTCTTGCCTCAGCCTCCTGAGTAGTTGGGATTACAGGCGCCCACCACTACGCCTGGCTGTTTTTTGTATTTTTAGTGGATATGGGGTTTCACTATGTTGGCCAGGTTGGTCTTGAACTCCTGACCATAGGAGTAATCCCAAAGTGCTGGGATTACAGGCATGAGCCACCACTCCCAGCCAAGATTTTATTTTTAGATCCCTTTTCTTTTCTCTGTGTATTTTCTATCAAGTCAAAATTGAAGATGATTTTTTTTCTAGCAAAAAATTTTAATTTTGGATGCATATCAAATATAAGATCATTAGGATAACGTTGAAAAATTCATAATGATGCGACAGTGTCTTAAAAAGCATTTAGATTAGCAAAGAAACAATTAATGATATCCAGGTAGGAGAATAGATGGGATATGGGTCTTAGCTATAAGTATTATTCTGCATTTTGAGCAATTTATGTTTGAAACACTCTCAATTAATACAGTAGCTTCATTTAGACTGCTTCATTGTGAAAGCATTTTGTATTCCAAGCTTGTTCAAAAGCCTTTTTAAGAGTTGGTTTCAGGTTGAGAAAGTTTGACATGGCCTTGATTTTATCTCGTTGGCTAACTCTTCAGCTCCTAAGAACAAACTGAGGACAGGAGTGACCACAACTGCTATGGGCTGATGTTCCTATAAAACACCTGAAATAAGGAGAAAAGTTCTCCCCAGGCCCAGGCCTATGATCTTGACACTTTGTGGATGAGGGAGGTTAGCTGGCAAAAATCTGTTCCAGAACTCATTCTATCGGGAAGCCCATCTACAGAAGAGGAAGGAGGAAGCGCCCCGCCCCACATTCAAATTTTCCAGATTGTTTTCAAATGACTTCCAGAAGCCAAGTCTTTGTATCCCCATGAGGATGCATGATGAATGTGTAGCTAAAACACTAGGGCTTCATCATCGACCAAGGTGGAAGCCTTAGTGCCCCATATTTTAACAGAATAGCATTTTCCTAGCTGAGAAAACACCTCCAAACCAAACACCTTCAAGATCATTGAAAACTGAATGGGGATTTCTCTTTTTTTTCCTTTCTTTCTTTTTAGGGCACTAATCTGCCATTGAATGGGGATTTCAACGGAGTTAAGTAAGAAGATGGTTCCAGTATAAAATATTAATATACTTTGGAAAAAATTCACATGTTTAACTCAGAGCAATTAATACTACTTTCTAATTACATGTCAATAAGCTGTGGGAATTACTGTTCTCTTCCCCCATTTGAATGGCATATAAAAAAACATTTTAGGTTGGGCTCGGTGGCTCCCACTTGTAATCCCAGCACTTTGGGAGGCCGAGGCAGGTGGATCACGAGGTCAAGAGATCGAGACCATCCTGGCCAACATGGTGAAACCCCGTCTCTACTAAAAATACAAAAATTAGCTGGACATGGTGGCGCACGCCTGTAGTCCCAGCTACTCGGGAGGCTGAGGCAGAATTGCTTGAACCTGGGAGGTGGAGGTTGCAGTGAGCCGAGATTGCACCACTGCACTCCAGCCTGGTGCCTGGCTATGGAGGAGTGAGACTCTGTCTCAAAAAAAAAAAAAAAAATTTAAATTCACTTTTTTGTTTCTTTGAGACGGAATCTTGCTCTGTTGCGCAGGCTGGAGTGCAGTGGCGCAATCTCAGCTAACTGCAACCTCAATCTCTGAGGTTCAAGCGATTCTCTTGCGTCCACCTCCCTAGTAACTGAGATTACCGGTGCATGCCACCATGCCTGGCTAATTTATTTTTTATTTTTTATTTTTAGTAAAGACGGGTTTTTGCCATGTTGGCCAGACTGGTCTCAAACACCTGACCTCAGGTGATCTGCCTGCCTTGGGCTCCCAAAATGCTGGGATTACAGGCATGCGCCACTGCACCTAGCCTAAATTCAATTTTTAAACAATATTTTAAACACTTATTTGGGGGTAGTTATTACTTATTTTCTAATAATGTAAAGAATAGGTTTTAAAACATAATTTATATATAAGATATATTTTAGTTCTCTTCTTGTCTTTGATTTATAGTATTTGCCTTTATTGCAAGGGAAGTCCTTAGGCATGATTTTTGAGAAAAGAAGTACTCGAACAAGATTGTCTACAGAAACAGGTAAGTCCTCTGCCAAATTCACACTTGTGTTGAAGAGGGGGATCGAGGGTGAAGACTTGGAGGGGTAACCCAGTGCAGGGATTTGTCTGCCTCTAGCAACCATAAAGAGAAAACATTTTTACTGGGAGCAGCAGTGCAAGCCTGTGAATGAGCTTTCCAGTTCTCATAAAAGCTATAAGCAGAAATATTAGTTTCATCAGTAAGAATTCCATAAGGAACTGAGTAGAAGTCCCATATAACTCTTCATGTTCAGAAAAGAAATGTAGGTGGGCACACATTTTCAGGTCTTGAACTCACATGGGTAAGAAATATGTCTATTTTTCTAGCATGTAAAGAGCATTTCCTTGTGTGGCTCAATTCTGCTAGATGGTGGTAATTAAATGTTTGCAATATTAGGCAATCCTCAGTTGTTTCAGGGTTTATTTTGTCCATTTGGGTCTCCTCTCCCTTTCCCCACAGCCATGGTTAAATCATGGAGAGTATCTGAATGTGAAGACATGTAGGGCTTTGGGGATCTGGTCCTTGGTCATTAGGACATCATCATCAAATGTCCATGCTGGGGTCTGTTGGGACTTCTATATTCCCACTGGATCTTGGCTGTCTCCGATTTACGGCAAGGTTTGCTTCACTCTGATTAAAAGGCTTGATATTGAGACAACCAAGTATAAAGCGGTCACTGGATCATCTCCAACTGGCCTGCACACTGGGAGGAGTGCACATTGGGGTGAAGCCTCGGGAAGTTCACACCATTTGCAGCAGGAAAGAGCCAGCCTCACCTGTTCTGAGGTGGAACCTGGGATTCAATCTGAGAGCCGGGATGACTACTAACAGGACTCTTGCTCTGCTGAGAGTTCCTGTTTCCCTTTTATTTCTTTTCACCCGATAAACCCTGCTCTTCTCACCTTTCAAGGTGTCTGTGAGACTAGTATTTCATGGTTGTGTGGCAAGGACCCCATTACAACAATATATCTCTTGGTTTCATTCTCTCAACCTCTTAGCAGCTCTCCAAGACACATTAAGCACAGAGGTACTACAAGGCTGCCTATACTCTATTGTTCCTTCCTTATGCTGAATGCCAGGGAGCTCTATAACATTTACTGCCTTCCAGAGGTCTGTCTTTTTTTTTTTTTTGAGACGGAGTTTCGCTCTTATTACCCAGGCTGGAGTGCAATGGCGCAATCTCGGCTCACCGCAACCTCCGCCCTAGCGGTCTGTCATAAAAGCAAGACAGGATCAGGATGTCCTCAGTTCTGGGATTCTCCAAACTCATCGGAGATTTCCAGCATGCTCCCTATCCTTCAGAAGTTGGCCTGGGGAACACACAGCAGGGTACAGTGTCAAAGGTCCATCATTTTTAATTTCTGTTGCTTCTCCTCTCTTTTCTTTTCTTCCCCTTTCAGTTATCAGTACTGGAGGCCAGGAAGTAAAGCAGGAGGAAAAACTGGCTCTGACTATTCATGGACTCTACCAAATCTACATTTTTGTGCCTAGAATTCTAGGCTGCTAAGGATCAATTTTTTTTTCTCAAGCTATCATCTCTGCAACTTCAAAACAGACACTTTGAAACTCATAGGCCACAAATTGCTTCTTTTCTTTCTCTGCATTTCTGCTCTACCAGACCTCACTTGAATCAATAATATGTCTGCCCAAATGAGTAATCAGACAGGGTCAAGGAGGAACACCACAAACAAAAACACATTGGTTGATACTTCAAATATATTATTCTACCTTGTAAGTATCTGAGTTTTCTAGGGCTTAGAAGCAAACAACTATTACATGTAATTTTTACCTTGGAATGATCAATAATGAAGCTTACCAAATAGATATCAAAAAGAAAGTTACGGGGTATTAAGCGACTTGCCAAATTCACTCAATTAATACAAACAGCACCAAGATTCACATTTCAAGTTCACTATTCTTACTAATGCATACTCCTTCCCCCTAGGGAGAAGGAAGGAGGAACAGGGAAAATATATAAGGTGTTAATCTTTAAAGCCCTAGGAAGAAAACAGATAAGAACATTTTGCTCTTTAAAGCTGGCTGCTATAGAGATCATGTTGGTATCTGACAGATGGTAGGGAACAAAATGAATAAAGCAATCAGTAGTTCTCAAATTCTGCTCCCTTTTATCACTAGTCTTCCATGAGTTGGATAGATATTATTTTATTTTATCTTGTATCTTTTTTGTTTGCTTGTTTTTACCATTAGTACTTAAGGGAAGTGGTCTTTTTTGAACTCACCAAAATAATTGATTAACACATAGAGATTTCTCAATTTTAGGTTTTTTAAAAAGGACTTTTGCTGAGTTCGTGGCATTTCTTTTTATTTTTTATTGTACTTTAAGTTCTGGGGTACCTGTGCAGATCTTGCAGGATTGTTGCAAAGGTACACACAAGCCATGGTGGTTTGCATGGCATTTCTATGACTTCCCTGTTCAAATGTTATGTTTGAAACCAGAATATTTCTGAATAAATGGTCGGTTTCACTATTTACAATAATATGGTAGTTAATCTATTAATAAAAGCGAGAGTGACAATTTAATAAGGTTTTGGATGTAGACCCTGTGCCAGGTGTTCTACATTAATTATGTGTGTTATCTCACTTAATCCTCATGACACTTCCGTGAGAGAAGACCGTTGAGGAAAACAGGCTGAAATGGGGCCAGCAAATGGCTCAAAGGTGCATAGCTAATAAATGGCAGACCCAGAGTTAGAAACTATTATTATTATCACTGAGATGGATTCTTGCTCTGTTAATCAGGCTAGAGTGCAGTGGTGCGATCTCAGCTCACTGCACTCTCTGTCTCAGCCTCCTGAGTAGCTTGGATTACAGGGGTGTGCCACCATGACTGGCTAATTTTTGTATTTTTAGTAGAGACAGCGTTTCACCATCTTGGCCAGGCTGGTCTCAAACTCCTGACCTCCTTTGTGATCCACCCACCACCTCGGCCTCCCAAACTGCTGGGATTACAGGTGTGAGCTACCACGCCCAGCTGGAAGCTATTATATATATATATAATATCTATATATATATATATATATATAATTGAGACTCCATCTATTTTATACATATATAATAGCTGGAAGCTATTATACTATCTATATATATTTGAGATGGAGTCTCTCTGTCACCCAGGCTGGAGTGCAGTAGCATAATCTCAGCTCACTGCAACTTCCGCTTCCCAGGTTCAAGCAATTCTCCTGCCTAAGCCTCCAAAGCAGCTGGGACTACAGGTGTGCACCACCACGTCTGGCTAATTTTTGTATTTTTTAGTAGAAACAGAGTTTCATCATATTGGACAAGCTGATTTCAAACTCCTGACCTCAGCCTCCTAAAGCGCTGGGATTCCAAGCATGAGCCACCAAGCCTGGCCTTAAATATATATTTTTAAATATCGAATTTAATAAACTAAATCTATTGATTTAATTATATGGCATGTAATTTCACGTTTTATTCTAGTAAAATTGTTTCTACAGGTGGCATTAAGCATTTTCTTAAATGATGGTTTTTCTATAAAGAAGTCCTCAGAAACCTGCCCCAAATCAGAAATAATAACAACAAATACATGAAGCAAGGAACGTAAGACTATTAAAACCTATAGCTCATGGAACATTTGTCATTATACTCAGTAATTGCATATGGCATCCTGTCAATCTCAAAAATAGGAGAATCACTCAGAGTGAGCAGCCGCCTTAACTGTTTACAGAAACAGTAAACCCCAATCAAAATCATGACAAACATCCCTATTGTGTGTCTGTGCATCTTAACAATTTTCCTTTGGTACAATTTTTTCAACAAGTACCACCTGTTACTTTGGTGCTTAGAATTAAAATAGGTGCAGTTATAACTGTTACTGCCCCAAATCTATGCCAGCCCCAGAGATGATCCTCATAGGACAGTCCTTGGCGATTCTGTTCCAAGCCTGAGTTTCAGGGCTACATTCATATTTCTACTTATCTCAGGAGACAGAATCAAATTCTCCATCCAACTCTTACCATAGTAATTGTTTATGTAACACGTTTATTAAAGCATAACACACAAAGTGCACAAATTATTAAGTGTTCAATGAATTCTTACAGTGAACAAACCATTGTAACTAACACGCAGACAGAGAAAAAGAGTGGTAGTAGCACCCAGAAGCTCCCCACCACCTTGTATTTCCTTCAGATCACTACTCCTCCTCCACCCAAGGGTAACTATTATCTTGGCTTCTAACATCACAGATTCATTTTGCCTGTTTTCGAACTTGATATAAATGGGATCATTCAGCACATGCTCTTTTGTGTCTGACTTCATTTGCTCAATGTTGTGAGATGTATCAGTGTAGCTGTGTGTAGTTGTAGATCATTCATGCCTCATCCACTCTTTGTGTGTGCCTGCCTGGAAAACCAGACAATTCTCCTATGTGTCTAACAATGATTATATTCTTTTATAGAAAATTAATTGAGTCGATAGACAGATACATTTATTAATCTCTGTAAATGCAGTAGCTGATAAAAATGCAAAAGGTATTCTAAGAGATGGTTCTTTTCATTATTTAACATTGGTAGTTCACTTTCAAGGTGAAGTAGAAGCTGGTCTTTTAACAGCTGTTTCAAAATTGTCATCTGTACAAAGATGCCCATATAAACATTTTGATACTATTCTGCAGTTATAAAAGCCAAACACAGAGAGGTAAATAATTGCCTTAGTTCTACCAGTAAGGGTCCTCGGATCCCGCATATTTCCAATGAATGAATTCTATTTACATTCTCTTTTCCAAAGCAGGCAGGAATATATGGGGAAGTGAAAGAGCAAAATAAGATTTATTTTCCCAAACAGAAATTAACAGAAGAAACTTTTTGTTCAAAAATAGCTCATATGAAAGCATAAACAAATGAAACAGATAAGGCTTCTCTGGATAAACAGTGGAAATCCTCTCTCTGCCCTCTTCTTGGCAATGGCAGCTTCTAGTGGCTTCTCAAAACCTCTGATGCCCTTAAGCACGTATTTCCATACAG